GCTTGTCACTGAGGAATGTGCTCAATGCCTTTATTTAATGGTGGGTTTGCAAACCTGCTCGGATACCTCGTCTTCCTTTCTCGCTTCCCTTCGCAGCCAGGGAGGAGAAGGAAAGCGGTGCTTTTGTCCCCCGCCCTGTGGCTGCTGTCAGATGGATGGTTTTCATGGCAGCTCTGTTTGCTTGGCTGGTTCAAACGATGCCAGAGAACGAGGCACAGCCGCCAGCAGGCTGCTTCCAGCCCCAGCTCCCTCCCAAACTCAGCTGCACTGCTGTAAATGCGCCTGGTGCCTCTGCAGCCCCTCTGCAAACAGCACCAGCCCCACGCTGCTGGGGCCCTGGTCGTGAAGGCACCCTTGCTCAGGAAAGCAGAGGGCTTCAGCATGTGCTTAAGTGCTTTCCTGACTCCAGGCCAGGGTTTGTGCTTTAGCAGAGCACAACCTCACCCGCCTTCCTCTCGGGATCGGAGGCAGGATCCCAGGTGCTCCAGGTGATCCCTGGTATCTGCTGAGCCAGGCTGCAGCAGGATGCTCCATTGGAGCTGCTTGCCTCTTTGCCGCCATGTGTGCATGCAGAGAAACCTGGAAAAAAAACAGCCACCACCTTCTTTGGAAGGAAGGAAATTGCTTTCTAATCGGGCATGTGGAAGTGAACTTGCGTGCTGACTCCTGAGGAATTTCAGCTGTTCCCCAGGGGGTTTGCAATTGCTGTTTGGGTCACATCCCGGCTCTGATCTCGGTCTTGCCTTTGGGAGTGGGATTCCTCAGCACAGAGCCGCTGGCATTTGAGGAATGAGTGATGCTTGTTTCAGAAAACCAAGCGAACGCAGTGTGTGCAGCTCAGCTGCATTTTCCTCAGCAGAAAATTTCAGAATTTGCCTAGTGAAACAGAAAGAATTCTGAGGGAAATGAGCCCTAAGAATTGTCTGCAGGACAAAAGTTTAATCACACCGCTCTCATTAACGGCGACGTGAGTTCAGGGGCTGAAACCTTCTGCTCCTCTCCAACCAAAACCTGCACAGCCTGCTTTGCACGGACCAGGCCTACAGAAGTGGTGCTACATTATATCATTTCAGTTCCTGTACGGTCAGCAAGTAAAAGTTAGCAGAGACCCCGACCTGCTCTGCTCAGAGATGGTGGGGCCAGGGAGGGGGGCTTTGCTGTGTTGGGATGCAGGCAGGCGGCTCGCTCCGTGTCCCTTGTGAAGAAGGGTTCCTGACTCAGACCCGGAGCTCAGCCTCAGCAGAGGGCTACCAGGGCTGGACCCTCTCCCCCGTAACGGCTTTACAGCAGCAGAGCTGAGCTCTGAAAGCCCCAGCAGTCCAGACAAACTTGGTGGCCCTCAGGCTGATGAGGATGGCGCGGAAGGGCTGAGTGCACGGCTGGGAGGACTCCAAGCACAGCTGACCCCAGTGGCCCGGGCTGATAAACACGGCGTTCTTCCTTTCTGTTGGAGGGCTGGGCCTGGGAGCCATGGGAATCAATAGGAGTCTTTCCAGTGTGGGCTTTGGATCTTTGTCTGGATAAACAAATAGAAGGAAATAACAAATAACACGGGTCTAACAAATATTTTACAAAGTACAAACGTCTGCCTTTCACTACAGCTCGATCCAAACCCCACGAAGGAAAAAATGTCCCTGTTCCTGTGATGCTGTTCCATCTGCCTTTCCCCGGTGACCCCAGTTAACGCCGGCACCTCGGCCCGCACGGAAGCTGGCAGGGATCTCTGCGGGGTGCTGCCACCCCCCCGGCCGTCACCGCTGCGAGCAAAGCTCCTCCGGGCGGGCACGGGACCCCCCTTGTTTGCGGACCCACCCGCAGAAGAACCGTCGGACAGCGCCGCCGAACGGGCACGGCTCCGTAAACATCGGCGCTCCTTCGGCCGTTTCTGTGCTTTCCTGCCTCCGCAGTGAGGTTTCCTCGTCTCCCCGCTGCCTTGCAGCGACACCTGCTGCGCGCTGCTAGGAGAAGAGCGGTTTTCCTTCCTGGGAAAGCGGTTTGTCTCTGCTGGGAAGCCTTGTGGCTTTGGCTTTTAAGGTGGGAGAAGCGGAAGCGGGCAAGTCTGCGCCTTCCTCAAACACAAACATTTCTGCGGTCTGCGAGCTCTCCAACCTGGCGCAGGCTGCGGTGGCGACGCTTTTGTTTTGCAAACTCCTTCCAGCCTGTCCTTGGTAAGATGTGGTGGAAAGCCTGCTGTTACTCCTGGCACGGAGCTCGGAAGAGACGGTTTGCTGCAGGGGAGAGGCAGAGCGGCGCGTCCCGCTCCCTGAGCAGCGCTTCGTGTGCGCGCCCCCGCCAGGAGCTGCCGCGGGGCTGGAGATGGGTCAGCTTGCTTCTTTTCCCTCCTGCTAACGCTTTGCTCCCCGGCTCCAGTTGCAGATTTTCGGCAGAGCTGGCCATGATGTTCCGCTTTGTGGTCGGAGCTCTCTTCCCAGCGCTTCTCCTGGCTGCGCCGCCTCCCATCAACAAACTCGCCCTTTTCCCGGACAAGAGCGCTTGGTGTGAGGCCAAGAACATCACCCAGATCGTGGGGCACAGCGGCTGCGAGTCCAAGTCCATCCAGAACAGGTAGGGATCCTACCTGCCAAACCTCTTCCTGCCTTCGTCGGGAAGAGCAGGCGGCCACCCTGAGCCCTCCCCCGTCCCGCTGTCTCCACAGGGCCTGCCTGGGGCAGTGTTTCAGCTACAGTGTCCCCAACACCTTCCCTCAGTCCACAGAGTCCCTGGTTCACTGCGATTCCTGCATGCCGGCGCAGTCCATGTGGGAAATTGTAAGTATCCCTGCCTGCTCCTCTGTCTTTTCTGCTCTCTGCTTTGCACTGCTGCCTCTCTGGGGGAAGTCATTCTCCTTCCCTGAGGTTGCTCTGCTCGCGGTTTCCTCCAGGCTGCCTCAGGTGTTTCTGCCCTGGCTTGAGAAGCTTGGGTGGCTGGGGCTGCTGGGAGCAGCGTGACTGTGGTGATGCACGGTGCATTTGTCAGTGTAGGAAGAAGCATCCTCTGCCAGTCCCTGCATTATTCATCCTGCGTGCCTCTGCTCTCCACCACTCCCCTTTGTCACCTGCTCCTGACTTAAGAGTCACCTCCTGCCAGTCACCCCCAGACCTCCCAGCATCTGTTTCCTGCCACATGGATCCTGGAAGGACCATAAGCGCTGTCTCCAAGGGAGGTTTGGGCAACCAGGGCACTGCCTCCAGCTCTCTGCTTTGCTTTGGACGCAGTCGTTTGGGCAGATGGCTCAAGCCAAACTAGCTGAGATTATTGGCACCGTGCTTTCTGCAGTTACCACTGATGTTGCTGTGCCTGCAGTGCCTGGGGGCAGGTCCTGCCTCAGCCATTTCATTTCCCCAGTTGGTACAGCGCCTCTCTGCAGCTGCAAGATGTTTCCAAGCACCCTCGTGTTGTGACCATGACTATTTGGGTAGCAAGCCACGATTTCTAGCTTAAAATACCCTGAGTCTGCTGTGCATGGGGCAGGTCAAGATGGCCATTGGGATCAAGCCCACGCGCTCACTGTATCCTCGTCCCTCTCCCCAGGTGACACTGGACTGCCCAGGCAACGACGAGATCCCCAGGGTTGACAAGCTGGTGGAGAAGATACTTCACTGCAGCTGCCAGGCTTGCGGCAAGGAGCCGAGCCACGAGGGAGCCCTGTTCAACGTCTACTTGAACGCGGAGGAGAACATGCCTGCGGAGGGCCCCGGCCCCCACCACTATGCCCACCACCAGCAGGAGGTAGAAGAGCCCCCCGCTTCCAGCCACCACCACCACGAGGAGGAGGGCGACGAGTGACCCGGCCCTCGCGGACTGTCCTTGCAACGCGGGCAGGCAGTGTGTGCGAGGGAGAGGGCCGGGCCTTGGGGAGGGAGGGGGGTGGTAGAGGCTTTCCTGTCTAATAGCTACCCTCACGCTTTGCTCTCCACGACACCCCGGGGCTGGAGGAGCGGTTTGAGGCACGGGCAGGAAGTGGGGCTGGAGCAGCGGGGCCACAGGAGGGCTGGGGGTTTCTGATGCAAAACTACTTGCACATCATAGTAATAATATATTGAGAGGAGCGGGGACGTGGGCAGAGGGGGCTTTGGCAGAGAGTGGGAGCCGAGCCGGGCTCCCCAGGGCTGTCTGCAGGATCCTCAGCCTGCTGTAGAGCCCTCGATGAGCCCTCTGGGCTTGTCTTCTGTACGTGGCTCTTGCCTGGCCTGGAGGAAGAAGGGACGTGGCTTCCCTGCAGCCACTCAAGAGATGCACATCTCTTCTGTGGGATGGGGTTCTCCCTTCTTCCTTGTGCTTCCCCTGACTGCCTTGGGGTGCCTGGGCTCGGCATGGGCGCGCTGTTCCTCCTGGCGCTCGCTGGGTCCTACTTCAACCCCCGTGCCTTCGTGTGAGGTGACTCACAGGGAGCATTTTGCCCTGGCTGTGCCTCTGCGGCTGTGTGTGAGGTTGCTGGGAGCCGTGGTGGCCAGAGCCCTTTCCTTGCTGGTCCTCAGGGCCACCACAAAGCTCGCAAGGGTGAGGGAGCTGCACTGTGCCACGGGCACTGGGGCTTCACATTTCACAGCCTGTGCTGGGGTGGTGTTGGTGGGAGCTGGCCCCTCTCCCCTCCTTCCCTGCTGCACTTTAATTGTGGTGGAGGGAGAAGGGGGACAAGTCCTGGGATGCTGATGGACCTTTGTAGGGACTGCTCTGGACCCCACTGCAGATGCGGGGCTGGGCTCAGGGTGGGGGCCCCTCCTGCTACCCCTCTCTCTGTTGTATAAAGCTAATTTCTTTGGCACTGTCCTGACAAGAGCTTCCAGAGCTTGTAACCGACGCCTCCCTCTCCTTTGTACAAGTTTTGGTTTGTGTTTTTTGTTGGTTTTTGGTTTTGTTTTCTTAAATAAATTAGTTCTGACTTCCATTTCTGGGCGCTCTGATGCCTGTCTGGTTTTCGGCAGCAAGCTGGATGTCAGAACCAGGCAGTGCAGGAGAGCACAAGGAGCGCCACGGTTCCCTTCAGCTTTCTGCTGCCTTCCCTTCAAGAGCAGGGAGAGCCGCTGGAAGGAAAACCAATCGCAGGGATGCAGCACCTGGCCCGTGTCTGCACTTCTGGTCCCATTCTCGTAGGCTGTGCAAGGGCTCCCTGCGGGTTCGTGCGACCTCGGTCGGTTCTGTTGCCACTAGGTGACACTCTCGATCCAGCACGTTTTGCGGCTTCCAGGAGCGTTTCTGGGCCGGAGGAAGACAAGCTTGGACCAGGACTTCACGTAAGGCTCCAGTTGCTGGAGGGAATGCAGCATGCTCAGGTGCTCAGGCTTTGTTCAGTCTGCTCTGGAGCAGAAGCTCTGCGGTGAAGCTGAGATGCTCCAAGCTTGGGGTGCAGCGGTGCTGAGAAGGAAGCGGGGCGTTGGAGCAGCAGCGTGGCCCAGCTGGGATAAACGTGTGCCGCTGCAGTGATTTATCCCAGCTGGGAGGCCGCCACAGCGTGGGCTCAGGGTGGGTTTCCTTGCTTGTTCCCAGCACAGATGGGACGAGGAAGTGAGGCTTTCCTGGTACAAACGCATTTCTAAAGCAACCTCCTGCTGCGATCAGAGCCTCGCGTGTGCGTGCTCTGCCCCGGGCTGCCTGCCAGGACAGCGTGACGCAGGGCCGGCTGCGGAGGTTTGCATGGGAGCAGAGCGTCCCAGGAGGAGATCCTGCAGATGCAAAGGGGCAGAAGCCACGCGCAGGCACCCAGGGGAGCTCATCCTGAGCAGCTATGGAGTGGCACACTGCTGGGGGGAGCACCGTGCTCCTCACACACAGAGATGAGTCCTGCTGTGCATCTCCCTTCTGTCTTGCTCGCAGATGGCATCCAGGCCAGGCACTCCCATTCAGCTGCTAGGAAAAGTGGGACAGTTGTTGAAAAGCAGATTAGCGAAGCAGATCTTGATAAAGAGACAAAGTTCTGTTCCTTCCCTTCATTCACGTTCTCGTTTCCCACTGGTATCACAGGCAGTGCGTTAGGGTCACACAGGCACATCCTCACAACTCGCTGCTGCTGTGGCCACGGAGATGCAGGGGTGTCCCATTGTCCCATCTCTCCATCAGCACTGAGGTCGGTGCCTGTGGCTGCGGTGCCCTCAGTGGGCCCTGAGCCCGTTTGAAGGACAAACCCTGCCAGCAACGAGAAGAAAACGATCAGTGTCTGCCAAGCACCTCGAGGTACTGACTGTGAAAGGTGGAGGTGGGAGCTCAGGTTGCACGATGGCACCTGGAGATTTGGAAGCATCTTCTGGAGGATGGGTTGGAGGAGCTGCTGGGGCACGTAGGGTCCTCAGCCTTGCTACCAAAGGGGCAAGTCGCCCTGGGCCCACCCAGCCCCCTGCCTGCCTCTGGCTGCTGTCTGAGAGGGCAGCTGCAGGTACTGGATGCAGGCTTTGTTGCTCTGTATTTGGTTATGCAAAATTGTGCTCTCGTCAGCCGGCACTGAGGACGGAACCTTGCACTCAGCACTGGCGGTCGGGCTCAGCCTCAGAGCGCTGTTGGCCTGCAAAGTGAGCATGGGGTCTGCACGGCAGAGGGGAGGCAGAGCACGGTGCGGGCTGTGTCTTTAAGGCACAGAAGGGAACTCTCTGGCTGCCACTTCGCAAAGTTTAGCCCAAATCCCCGTGTTCATTAGCAATTCATTGCATCTCCTCCTCTCCCCTCCGCCCCACCTCCTCCGTATCGGCATTTCTGCATCCTGCGCTGTGCATCGCAGAGCAGCAGGTAAAAGTCTGGCTGGCTGCTGCACGCACACCGTTCACGCACATCCCCGCACGCCCGACGCACCTCTGCCTGGGGCCAGGCACCGCCGGGCGGCTTCCCGTGCTCCTGCATCTTCCTCCCCGCGTCTGAGCGTGGCTGGGTGCATCCCCGCGCCCACCCCAGGGCTGCTCTGCCTCTCCTCGCCGTCTCCGGCTGCAGCAGCAAAGCTCAGGCACGGAGGAGGTCGGTGGGGCAGAGCCCTGCAGGTGGGCGAAGGCAGCGGAGAGCTGAGAGCTGAGAGCTGAGCGTCCCCAGCGCTGCGTGGTCCGTCTGACTCCCTGGTGCAGAGCATCACAGAGTCCGGCGTGTCCTCCCGTCCAGAGCTCCCCGGTGCCCACGGCATCCTCGGCGTCCAGCAGCGCTGTCCGGGCACATCCCGGCACGGAGGGGATTCGCAGGGACGAGCAGAAGCCTGGCTGTGAGTAACAGGGAGGGGAACCTTGCTGCTCATCGGCTCCTGGAAATGTCACTCTGTCTTGATTGCCAGTGAAGAGAGAGAGCAGGGGAAGAGAGGGAGAAGAGAGCAGCAAGGAGGACAGCCGGAGAGATGGAGCTCCCTCCCCTGGAGCCGGTTCCTGCCATGATCACATAGCACAGGTGGAGAAGGTCCCCGGCTGCAGAGCCAGCCCCGCTGCCCCGCTCCTCATGGAAGGCATTTTGGGATCCCCCAATGCCAGCGTGCTGGGAGAGCGCTCACTGCTGGTGGGGAGCAGCTGGATGGCCGCCTTCCTCTGCTTCATCATCCTGCTGACCACAGCCGGGAACTTCCTCCTCATCCTCCTCATCGTCACCCAGCGCTCCCTCCGCAACACCTCCAACTACTTCCTGGTGTCTCTCTTCATGTCCGACCTGATGGTGGGGTTGGTGGTGATGCCCCCCGCCATGCTCAACCAGCTCTACGGCCACTGGGTGCTGAGAGGAGACTTCTGCTCCCTCTGGTACGCCTTCGACGTCATGTGCTGCAGCGCCTCCATCCTCAACCTCTGCGTCATCAGCTTGGACCGCTACCTGCTCATCATCTCCCCTCTGAAATACAAGCTGCGCATGACATCCTGCAGGGCCCTCTGGCTCATCCTGGCCACCTGGACCTTGGCTGCTCTGGCCTCCTTCCTGCCCATCAAACTGGGCTGGCACAAGCTGGAATTCGAGGTTTGGTCCCCAAACGTCACCTCCCGGGGGGACGAGGAGCAGTGCCGGCTGGTGGTCAGCTTGCCTTACGCCCTGGTGGCCTCCTGCCTGACTTTCTTCCTCCCATCCGCCGCCATCTCCTTCACCTACTGCCGCATCCTCCTGGCAGCTCGCAAGCAAGCCGTGCAGGTGGCTTCCCTCGCCTCCAACGTGGCCACTGCCACCACCGACGAGAGCACGGAGCAGGTGAAGGGCTGCAGCTGGGGGGGTGGTGGGGAAACGGTGACGGCGCCCTCTGCAGGAGCCAGGGAGCAGGGAAGGCTGGGAAGCCCACGCAGCTCGAACCTGAGTATGGGGGGCTCCAGCGTGTGCCTTGTTCCCATGCGCCGTGTCACAGCCCCCGAACGCAGCTGGGCTCCTTGTGGAGAGGAGGTGTGCAGTGGGGAGCCATGCATTTGTGATGGGACAGGAGCACACAGCCCTCGTCACACTCCTGCAGCCTGCAAGTAGCAAATCCACCGCTGCCAGCCATCAGCAGCATCTCTTGTTCTCCTGGATAAGAGTGGGGATCTGGGGCAACACCCACCTCCATAGAGGGAGGACGGTGGCTCTGCGGTGGTGCCCACGTTCATCCCAGTGATGCTGAGCGCTGAAGCTGCTCAGGAGCACAGGAACAGCATGAGCAGAAGCAGAGAAATAAATTCAGATGCAAAAATGCTCAGTGGTACAAAATAAATGCCGCTTCGCTCATCCCAGAGGGCTTTAATCTTATCTGACTTTCAACTAGCAAATCTTGGCTGTGGTGGGTGCGAGCCGTATGGGGGGGAAAGGAGCTTAAACAGCAAATAGGAAATTCTGGAGGGCACCTTATTTTGCACATCCAGGTTCTATTTTTGTTACCTGGCCTACAATGGGAACTGCAAGATAGCTCTTTACTTGAGGTTGCTGGTTAAGCAGCAGCACGTGTGTTCCTGCAGCCAAAGCGTGGCTGCAGCTGGGGCTGTCTGTATATCTCCAGGAGAAGGTAATTGCCACTAAATCTAACAGCTTTAATTCCTTCTAATAGGCTTTATTGACCTCATATCCTACAGGAAAAGACAAACTTAATTGCATTGAAGTACCTTGATTTGGTTTGTTGTTCTCTTTTAAGAAAGCAGCCAGGACTCAGACCTAGCCAGCCCTCCTGCGCACGATGAGCTGCACCAGGCTCTGAAAAGGAAAATGAGAATCAAAGGAGAGGCAGGAATATCAAAACATGCTTGTTTTCTTTTCCCCTGGGTGACGGGTTTTGGACTCCATGGAGAAACCAAACCCAACCACACCAAGCCCAATTCAACCAAATCCAACTCAACCCAACCAAACCCATCACAGCCTGATGGCCCCACTGCTGTACTGCTGGGGGATGCCCAGCTGCTTTCCTCTGCCACGGGGAGCCTGCACCCACCAACTTTTCAGCTGAATTGAAATGAGGCAAATGTCCCAGCAGGGTGCAGGTTGTAGGTTGTTGATAGGAGCCTCGCCTCAGCTCGGGTGAGTGGCCAGCTGAAAATGCAGCGTCAGCTTTTAAATGGATTTTTGTTCTCTTTTTGGGCAGGAAGCTGAGTGGCAACAGAGCCTCACCTAATTGTGGCAGAGCTGAGATACTAATTAATTTTAGATTGCAAGAAGGGACAGAGAACTGAGTTAGTGAGGGTGTTTGTAGGCTGAAATGCTTGACGCCCCACTTTAAAAAATATGATTATTTTGCTGCTCTACTCAGCAGCCACAGCTGCCTCTTTGGGGCACGCTTTACTCTCAGTCTTACCAAAGCACTGACTGAGCTGGGTTTCCTATGTCACTTAATGATAAAGCTCCTGTTTCACAGGGGAAAAAATAATCTTCTCAGTGTTGAGGTTTTCTATTGCTTCCTCTTCCTGATTTATGGTACAGAGGTGGTGGGGTGGGCCGTCCTCCCGCCTCTGCCAGAAGGGATGTAAGAGTGGGATTTTCTTGCAGGATTTGCAGCACCAAATGCCACTTCCCTTGGGCAGGAGAAATTCTTACTCACCACCCCAACTCCCACTGCAGGTTCCCCATGCCCCAAGTCAGCCTGCAGCTGGCAGCGAGAGCAGGAGGTTTGCGAACAAGCACAGCAAGAAGGCGCTGAAGGCCAGCCTGACACTGGGCATCCTGCTGGGCATGTTCTTCGTGGCCTGGCTCCCCTTCTTTGTCACCAATGTGACGCAGGTAAGCAAGTTCTTGGGTTTTCTTTTGGCAGAGCGAGCTTTTTTTCCAGTGGCAGTGGCCGCTGACCTTGCTGTCCCCCCCAGGCAGTGTGTGACTGTGTCCCTGCTGGCTTCTTTGACGTGCTCACCTGGCTGGGCTACTGCAACAGCACCATGAACCCCATCATCTACCCGCTCTTCATGAGGGACTTCAAGAGAGCCATGGGCAAATACCTGCCCTGCTGCCGGCGCACCGGGGAGCCCCGGCCCAGCGCCATCTCTCTCTCCATGAGGAACTCCAACAGCGGGCCCCGTGCGGCCACGTCCCTCAAGAACGTCCTCGCCTTGCAAGCTGAGACCGACTCCGTTGTCTCCGAGGCGGTGGCAAATGAACACAGCCTGCAGCCGGCAGCTGAAGGTGCCCTGCCTGCCCCCACTGCTCGCTTGGTCGGCCTTTTTGAGATGGAAAACCCAGAGCTGGAGCTGCAGTGCCGGCAGCTCGGCACCCCTGAGGCCTGAGTGCCACCTGGGTATGTCCACTGCGCCCAGGGGAGGAGCTCAGCTTCTGCTTGTACAGCCCAGCAGGTCGCCCCTCACTCACATCAAGGGGAAAAAAACAGATGGGAAGCACGTCCTGTGACTCGCGGGCCAGATTCGGGGCTGCTCCAGTGCTCAGCACATCATGTCCCCTGGGGACTTAATTTTCTCGCCTGATCTGGGCTGTTTCTGTCAGTTTCCTGTGAAAGCAGTGACTTGCAGCATGCTGAAACCATCCCATGTAATCACGAGCAGGCAGCGCTATGGGGGATTAAATCTGGTGCAAAATGCTCAACGCTGCTTTTTGGATACTCCACACGGGTGTGGGTGTTCAGCTCGTTTGTAGCTCCACGGGTATCCTGACAGTAGTAAGGAACGAAATAAGCTTCCCTTCAGCTTTCATCCCACAGCTTCCTATTTCTGGCATACAGCCATCACACTTTGCTCTGACAACCCATCAATTTGAAGACGATGCTGTTTAGAAATCTTTTTCTTTTTTCTTTTTCTTCCAATGCAGTCCGCAGGCACTTAATAAACACCAACAACTTTTTTCTGCTAATACTTCCTCAAGTGCCTTTCAGATCAGAGATGGGTTGGTCGGCTGTTGCTGTGCCCTTCCTGGACTGGTACTCCACCAGGAGGTTTTGGCTGCCCTCCTGAAGCCCACACTTGCACAAGAGAACCCCAAGCATCCCTCCAACACAGGAGGCCAGGAGAAGAAAACCGCACGCCAGGCGAAGTCTCGTTCCTTGTCTTCCTGTGTTGCTGTGCTGTGTGTTCGACTGCATGAGAAATAATCCAGAGGTAAGGTGTATGGAAAGCTCGGGAGGTTGCTGGCACAGGCAGGGCTGCAAGTGAATCAAAATCACAAGCTACAACTGCACTGAGTCAATGAAACATGCCAGATCGGGAGGTGGGAAGGTATTCGTAGCACACAGCACTTGTTTTAACGCTGAAAAACCCAGAGGTGCTCACAGGAGGGAGTTTATCCTCTTGCCACGTTCTCGCCAGGTTGCATTTTCTTGGGCTGAGGAGCAAAATCAGTCAGAAAAGGAACTTGTGTAAAGCTGAGTCCCTCCAGGTTGAGACTGGGGAAAAAGGGAGCGGATGTCAATTCACTTTATGGAAGGAGGGAGAAATCAAACAGGTTTATGTTTATTCTATGCCAAGTATTAGCTTTATTTTAAACCCATTAAAATATAACTAGAGGGGGCTTTTAAGGCTGGAGATGTGTGTGGGATGGCAAGAAGAAAGTCTCCATGTGTTGCTGGCTTGCAAGGGAAAAAGCTTCACGAAGCACTAAGTCATAAAAAGCCCATTCTGTTTTTGGCTGTCCTTCACCTATGGGACTCAAAGCACGTTCCTAGTGGTAACGAGGTCTCAGACACTCATCACCATCAGTTTGCAGGAAGGGAAACAACCTTGTTGGTTGGAAAGTGTCAGAGCCATGGTAGCAAACCTGCAGCAGAGTGGGGAGGGCAGCTCTCAGCCTTTCGCCCCCCTGCTTAGCAGAGCTGAAGTGGAAAAATGCTTTTAATGACCTGCTAATGAGTCCCTCTCCACAACATGCTTAAATATACCCACAGAGCCACCCTCTTTCCCAAGAGCTAAGTACCAGAAAGATGATCCCCAATGGTGGCAGCTGCTTCCCTCAAGAATAAAAGAGCTTGTGCAATGAGGGGATTGCCACTGCTTCCTGAGGAACTATGCTGATTTGGACCAGAATCAGCCTTTTCTTGTCAGCGGGAGATGCTGTGGGAGATTGCTGTGAGAGCTGTGATACTGAGATGCCATGTGCTGGGCCCTCAGCAGGGTCTGAAAGCTGCAGCTCAGCTCTGTGGGTTTTACTGATTGTGCTCTGAGAGCAGTTTTAGTGCTGAGCATCCCTGCCCGTCACAAAGAGCTGCAACTGGCCTCCACGCAGGCCAGGCAAAGCGTGGGCTTGCTGATGGTTCTGCTGCCTCCCACCCAGCCACACGGCAGCCTTGGGAGCTGCAGGGCAGCAATTCACACCCTGCACGGGAAACTCTGCAGACTGTGTAGGGCAGGAGGCTGAGGATGGCTCCGTGCAGCTGATGCTGGGCACAATGCACGTGGCAGCTGCAAGGAGAGGTTTGGAGGTTCAGTTCAGTCTGTGTTATCACCTGCTGCCTGCTTTGCACTGCTGGGGCAAGCTGGGCAGGGAGGTGAACTCTCTGCAGAGAGAGATCCAGGGGAATCCTGTCGGTGAGCACAGATGGCCAAGGATTCATCTCCTGGGTGCAGGCTGCCATCGCTGCTCGTGCCAGCACTTGCAGGCTGTGTCAGTGCAGAGCTCACGCTGGTGCTGGTTGTGGGTGCTTGGCAGTCACTGTCAGCTCCATCCTCCTCCTGCACAGTGTTTTCCTCTTCCCGAGTCTCACTGCCTGCTGCTCCTTGTGATTTCTTGGCTAGAGGGGAGAAAAGTCTGGTGCTGCCCTTCTTCTCCTGCTGACATTCCTTGGTTTTAATGCCCACAGCTTTTAGAATCGTGTCCATTTGCTTCATGTAGTCCAGGTGGCCACTGACCTACAAGCAACAGGAGGAGTGCAGTTAGGGGAAATCTATGGGGAGCCCAGCTCAATCCAGTCCTCTATCCCAAAAGCCACCGCTGCCATGAGATCTGGCTTCAGCTCCAACAGGCTGAAAGGGACAGGTCTGAAGAATGTGGTATTCTCTGGAAATCCCCCTACACGGCTGTGCTCCCGGACCACTTTACCCTTGAGAAATGCATGTTTAAATGCAGAGCGACAAGACCAGACTCTGAGTGCCATGAGGGTAAAGGAGGAGGTGATCTGCCCTGGTGACAGACTCCCAAGCAGGAGATTCCTTGACTCAGTTCAACTCCCTGTTCTCAGTTAGATTACACACCCTCCCTGTGCCTCAGCTTCCTTGTAAAAGCAAATGTCTCATTTGTATGGAGATAAAGTAACTGGAGCAACAACTGCTGAGGGTGTTGGCTGGAAGACGAGGCAGTATTTAAATGTGCATTGATCAGTCCCATATAAAACTGGGAGTCCACGAGGTTTTAAGTTCATAAACCAAATTAAAACCAGCAGTATGCTGTTGCAAATAACCAGACATTTATCTGTAGGGTGATTTCCACGATAAGATAAACCCTTCTGATGCAGATGTTAGGAATGTGTCCTTCGTGTCAGGGCACAGGAGGGAGAGAAAACCTCCTCTGCAGTGGTAATTACTGTTATGTGCTAAAGGCAGAAGCTGCCCTTTCTGATTCAGATGTCCTGTTCAAGCCCTACGTTAGAGGTAACTACAGCCAAGACCCTCCTACAGAGCAGTCTGCAGATCTCCAAAGCTGGAAGCACAGTGCAGAACGCAGAGCTCCTGCCCAATTGCGTGAAGCAGCCTCTGAGTGGCAACATTTGGAGGCACTTAGGACTTGGAGCAAAATGAAGGATTTAATCAGCACGTCAGTAATGCAATATGCAGCTTTAATCAGTCCAGATGGCTCAACAAGCTCTTGATGTTTTGAACAGATCAGTTAATTAAAACAACCATCCAGGGTCTCGTGGACAGGCTGTTAAGACGCTCTCCCCAAAAGTACAAATCTTTTGCTGCCCCACAGCAGAGCTTGGTGCTAAAGAAGGAAACGAGCACAGCGTTGGACAAGGTGGAGAGAAACAAGAACGCAACAGACTGGCTGGGAAGGGCTGCTGGATCTCTTGGTTTGCTCTGTTCTGAAACCCCTATGGTTGCTACAATCGACCTGTGGTGGTCAGTGCTTGGGGTAGAAGTGGCACTGGGTGACATGGCATGGAGCAGTCATAGATGAACTAGATGATGACCTCAGTGGTTGGAATCTTACTGAACCATCACCGACAGAACAGCAAGCAAAATTCCCTGCTATTTCCAAGCTGTGAAGGCATCCTAGTGGGAAAACTGAGCAATTCTACTTCTCAAAAGCCTGTTTCCATCTGCTGTGCAAAGAGCTGAATGCTTCTGCTGGGTGTGCTGGGAACTTCTACATTGCAATGGACAATAAAATCTTTGAAGAGAAATAAACAGCTGCTTGATTCTTTGTCAGAACAAAGTGCAGGAGGAACAGCAAAACAAAAGGAATGGAAAAGTGCTCCTGTAACCAAAACAAACAAATTTATGCTTGTTATAAGGAAATGAAAACAGTGGGTTAGGTTTATCACTGTGCTAAGGTGACTTCTCCCCTCTTGTAACTGATGGTGCTTTGAGTCACTGGAGGACACAACCCAAATATTTATACCACCAATTTGGGACAATTTGATTATAGACATAATAGCAATCAGGTGGATCTATCAGTCAGCTGGAGGAGCCATCAATTCACAGAGCGATGGAACGATTTTCAGTTAACATCAAGAGTTTCCTCATCTTGGCATCACCAGTGAACAATCTGCAGGATTTCCTTCTGACAAACACAAGTTTAAGGGAAGAAACTCAAATGCCTCTATTTCTTCTTTCCAAAAATCCTCAGTCATGGATACTGCCTCAAAACCCATGCAGCTTTCTGCTTCCATACGGTGGCAAGGTCTGGCTGATGGCAGGGCTCCCAAGCTATGCTGGTTATCAATTAAAATGCAGGCACTTTTGCCAAGCTGCAAGGCTTGGAGTTTCTCCCACTTGTCAGAGTGCTGCCTGATAGAGGACATTTGGTTTTGCCAAAATTTCCTGTTTTCCCCAGAGTTTTCTGGAAGCTTTTAGCAAAGACCCAGCAACCTCACACTGCTCAGCCAGAGGAACGGTGCTGGAGTTGGAGTGCATGCAAAAGCCAGTGGAAGAGAGGATTCCATCATGAGAACCATCAGAACATCAAGCAAACCCTGAAACAGGCTGTGATTGGCTCGAGTTACCACAGAAACACAATTCTCCAGTATTCATTCTTTGGAAGCAACGTTCTCCTGAAGAGAAGACAGTGAACATGACCAGTAATTCAGAAGCTGGAATTTAAATGGATTAATAAAAAACGTAGATTTGACATCTGCAACAAGTTACATTGGTGGAAAACTTTGTGGAGCTGCAGTTACTTTGAAAAGACTCTCAATGTCTCTTGCATTATTCCTCTTTAATGTTTCTATTCCTGCTCTGAATAACTGATGGAATAAGGATTAGAGAATGATTCAGCCAGAGGTAATAGGCTTTGCTTCTAAGTCATCCCTTTGCACAACTGCAATTCTTTGGATTGAATAATTCACCGGCTCGACTGGTAAAAGTTCTGCTTGAATTTCAATGGCACTTCTTGAGCAAGACAGCAATTTTTACACACAATCACCTTTCAGCCACAACTCACTGATCAAATCCTTCTCACCGCTGTAACTGGGGGCTCAGGCCAGTGTCACACCAATGCCATTACTTCCCTCTGTGTTTTTCTCCACCAAACTTTGATACCTTTTGTGGGCACACGTCGATGTTGGCAGTTCTGGGTGAGCACTGTTTTTCTGTTTGGAGTTGTGCATTGCTGAGAAGCTCAGTTTTCCTCTCAACCCACCTCTGTCAGTTCCAAGAGCACTATGATGGAGAGCTTTAGCTACGTGGTGTGTGAACACTGAGTCTTTCCAGCCATGTCACTGGCACTAAACATGCCACTTACTCCTACAGTGGCTGTAATACAATACTTATCTGTCTGTGCTAAGTCAAGTAGAAGGTACTTAAATTAGATGTTATAAGGAACGCCTTAAAGGCCTGGAATACACCAGGCACGTCATTGTAGCTGGGAAATGGTTTGAACATAATCTCTTAGACCTCAGGGGAAAAGAGATGGCCCAAAATAAAGGCTGCATTAATGTACTGAAGCACTTGGAAGACCCAGAAATCTGACATCATGAACTACAGCAGTCCACCAGCGATGCAACACTGATCAAGTCAGGATGATGGAGAAGTTTTAGAGGAGCTCAGTTTCTGCAAATGAGGACTCTGAGATGAGATGAACTCTCCGTATCCGGATGGTGTAACAGTGTGCCTGCAGCAGGGGGAGACTCCTCCCCTCTGACTCTGACTCTGACAAAGACCCATCACCCCTCCTCTCCCCTTCTTCCTCCAGGAATAATGAGATCTGGAAGTCAAACGTTACCAAAACAGACCAGATTTTTAGCTTCATGGAATGAGATCAGTTTTCACCAGCTAAGCTCTGGGGTGCAGAGCACGCTTCAGCATTCTCTGAAGGGCATCCCCAGCTCCTCCTCTTCCTTACCTGCCCGTAGCACAGGTAACATCTCTTACCAAATCTCAGACCAGGAAACCAAATCATGACTTATGCTCAATGGTACAGGAAATAAGCATGAACTTGGCTAGTTCCAATGAATTGGAATGAGCTCTTGCTGCACCATTCGCTAAATGACTTTTCCTGCAGCTCCTGTCCTGTGCCTCATCTCAGACTGCTCAAAAAGACTCATCATTTATGAGACTTGTACTGATCCCAAGCACTCACTCTGGGGCAATGGCTCATATCTCCCTCCGCTCCCATTTTGCTGATGGAAATGACTGTATGTGCTGAAAGGAGGAAATGATGTGGTGGCTGAAGAGTGATAACAGCTTCCAAGATAACGCCTGGGTTATGAGGGCATAACTCTCCTCCTTAGGTCACAACACCCACTTCTGCACTGCCAGAAATCAAACTGCCCTCTCTCTTTTAGTGGGTGATTCAGTGAGAGCTGTGCTCTTTAGTGTCATCCTCCCGGTGCAGATTACAGCCTCTTGTCCTTTACTGTCTCCCATGCCAGACTGAAACTTTGGATGGGTGGCTTAAAGGCATGGGTTCAACCACCAGCAGGTAGGACAGAGGAAACAGGAAGCTAAATTCTCCTAAATCCACCTGACTGTTCTTTGTGTAGCCACTCTTCCAGAACCAAACATTATTAACACAACGTAGGAAAAACTTCCATTGCTTTCACTGGCAGTTTTCCTTGTGTAATGGCTGTGTGATTGGGATGGCTGCTTGCAAAACCTACAGCTACAAACCTGTTCGCTATAAACCTGTCAAGAACAGAGTCTGCACTGTCTGCCTTTATGAGAACAAATTTTTATAGGGTACTTCAAAATGGTTCTCTTTGCCTTTTAGGAGCAGCTAAATATCCCCTGCCTTCCAAGGGGTACATCAAGATTAAGCAGTACGTCTGTGATGGAGCAAGGAGGAGCAGCGTCCTTTGAGTTTTCATCTGCCACCAAGGGAAAACAAACTAAAAGTTATTAATGGCTCAGTTTGCACTTTTTTGGAGAAAGCCTTTCAGTTCCTTCCTCTGTTTCAATATATTAACACTATCAGTGCCCACTCCTTGAAGATAAAACATCTTTAACATGTATTTAATATATGATTCAATCGTCAGAGCTCCCAGATGTGTTCAACAGCAAGAGACACCCCTCAAAACTAAGGCCTGACCACTTCAGGGTTGCAGGGACACATGAAGAGGAAGCAATCATCTCTGTGAGCTTTTATATCCCAGTGCAGCCCAAATAATAGAGGGACAGAGCCCTTACAGCCTAGCAAACCACCAGACTTGTCTTCACAAAGACTTGCACATCCTTCTGGGAAGAAATCATCATCAAACTTGGCCACCAAAGAACTGTTCCAGCACCACCACCAACAGCACTTCCCTTCTGCCAGCTGACAAAGGGATGAGAAGAAAAGAAACACATATTTGGGATGCTGAATAGATTGAGAAGAAAACCTTGTGAGACTAAAGAGGAGACACTAAGGAGTTATTTCAGGGGAGATCAGTTCCCTGTGACACTGTGAAGAGGACTGGATTTGTCTGCCTTCCTGTGTGCAGATTTGAGAGAACGCTCTCCAGGAGCCACTGTCTGAAGCCAAGTTCTGCACCTCACTGCTGCTCTTGTGATCCTCTTCATTCCTGTTACCATGAGAGGTGGCACTGCTCATTTGAAACAAGTAGAATAAGGGTATAATGAGAACAGGCAACCTTTTGCATTTCCAACTCCCCGTGTTCTTAATTAATCCCCACAATTAGTTTTTTGCTTCAAGTCTTGGGAATACTAGAAATAAACGACAGTTTAAAGTATTTTGGGGGAAATGCCTGAACCACAGAAGTGCCAAATCAATTGGATTGCACAAGATTCACACTTGTCATCTGCTTCTGGTATTTCTGTACCTGGCTGGCTGAAGGCCAGACTGTTTGGAGCCTGTTTGCATTCCCTTCTAACAGGAACACTAAGCTTCTCTCTGAAAACGCTTTTGGAAGAGAGATCAGTTATTCCTGTTTTTCAATTGCTGAAAGACAGCTTCCCCAGCGCTCAGTTCCCACAGCAAAGAACGGGTAGAAAGCTTTTGAGGTGGCTCACAGGGAAGAAGCAAAGGTGTGCCAAGGTGAGACATGGACTATTCTAAAAACGAGCTCTGCTGTTTTGCCTTCTGTCATGCAGAGATGCTGCAGGAGAACACGGCTGTGAGCACGTTTTGCTGCTACATCCTGTTACAGCAACTGCTCTAGAGATAAAAAAAAGCACTTGTGTCTGTGAGCTGTACAAACCACAGCTCCATCCAGCTGTGTGCTTGAGCAAGGAGGGGTTTAATCTCAGGTGGCGTTTCTGTTGTTCCCTTTATGGGAATTTATCAGCTCCAGCATGATTTGAGCAGCTGCCATTCAGACACCATGTCAGTGAAAAGCACAAAAAGGAGAATTTAGCTGCCAACGTTCTCTCTAGCAGACTTGCAGCCATGCATTCCTATTGCCCCAAGCTTGAGAGTTCATCCCTGCTTTCTGCTGCAGTAGAACTGCCCAGAGGAACAGAAGCAGCCATTCCTGACTTGTGAGCTTCTGCTTCTGACTCTGAGCAGTGCTGCAGTATTCAAATGTTAGTGCAAAATGTAATCTACAATATCCCACTTTAACAAACAGCAATCAATCCATTACAGCTCAGTCACTTCCTTGGTATCCCTAACAGGTGCTGTCAAATAAATCCACTGAACAAATCAGTCCCATTGTAACCATCAGGAAGGCTTTTATAACTGCATTTGTTGAGTGGGAGAACATTCTTCCTTCATTCTTTTTTTTACTGACAGCCAGAAAAAAAAAAACCCAACACATACTAATCAAGAGAGACGTGCCAGAAATGCCTCACAGGTGAACTCGTGCTCAGAGCGAGGTCTCCTAGTCCACCACTCATTGGAAGACTGTGATGCAAAGAGAACCAACCCCTTTGGGCCCAGACTATTGCTCATCCTGGACGGACAGTGAGATGACACAACACTGAAGCTGTCTGTGCAATACTTTCACACTCAGCACCCTGCATCACCCAAGCTTTATTTCTCTATCACTGCTCATCCCTGCCTATCCCTGGCTGCGTTTCAGTGGGACCTGAAGGACTCCAGTGTTGCAGCTGTCCTTGCTGAAGGTCCCTCGGCAGCTGGGTGGCTGCACAGCCACTCTTTGCAGATCTTTCCAGGTCCTTTGCAGAGCCCCAGGATGGTCTGTGAGGGTTGAGGGCAGAAATAAAATGAAGGCATGACGGATAAGCTCATCCCAGTGCCTGCTCATTGTGCTGAAAAGCAGGCAATTAACGATCATCATTACTGTTCCTCAAAAGCAGTGAGAGCTTAATTGAAAAGCACTCCTGTTTTTCAGATGCTTAATTTCCACTGAAGCTGAGAATGAACTGTATTTTTCTGGTGATCTCAGGATGCATCAGAGATCTCTGCAATCCCAGCAAGCCAAACTCTTCCACACACAGCCAAGCACCCTGACTGGAAACACCGCATCAAGCTGTCTCCTCTTCAGCAGCCCCATCTCTGTGGGCTGTGAATGTGCCCATTTCTCAAGTCATTCTATTTATTCTTAATGTTTTGAGAGCCAAAGCTCAAAGAGAAAAACTCATAGGGGGAAGCAGCAAAGCAATAGGCTCCAATGAATTACCCCACAGCAGAAGGCACTCACCATGGAACACTTCTCAGGCAACACTATCTACAGACAGCAGAGTCTCTGCATCGCTTCAGGACCTTTTTCAAATCAGATGTGTGTTGTGGGTTATAAATCTTTCTGCATAAGACATCTAAATGATAGGAAACTCCAAACATTTTATGGAATTAGGTTTAAAAAACAAAGAAAAAAAGAAAAAACCTTTACTGGGAAGCTGAAGGAGGCCTCTTAGTCCTCCTTTGCTTGAGCCATTACACTCCATTTCTCTGAAATGTGCACCAAATGACAAGCTCTCTGCAAGGCAGATGCCTGATTTACATCTATACATAAGAATATGCATTGCCATGGGTGTGCAGAGCCATCTTCTCTATTTCTGTAGAAAAATCAGGAGGATGTTCTGTTAGGCAGGATACTGAACTTGATGGATATTAGTGTGAACTACTGTAGCTGTTCTTATGTTTTGTTTCCTCTACTAGAAAGACAGATTTTTTTTCTTTAGTAAAGCAGATTTCTTGTATTCTGCAATTTATAGAAAACATCTCTCTATATTTCTCTTATGCAACTGCACTACATTTGCAGCAAGATCCATCCTTGCTTACTTGTCACTTTTTACACAGAGCTTCTGAATATTTCCTTCCCCTTCTTGCTCTCTCTTTTTACTTTTAAAATGTTTGTCAGAACACACTGTGTTTCTTTTCATAAAGCTCCATGCTCTGGAAAATGGATCAAGAGAATGACACTTACTTAATACACGTTTTCCTTGCTGTGGGAATTGCTCTTTTTTCCCCCCCAGTGCTTTGCAGTAAGATTAAAGAAGTGAAAGTGTCAGCTCTTTCTGAAATGAGAACAGTGCTGGGATTGTCTGCTGGCATCAGGCAGCGCAGACACAGATGCACAACAGCAGAAGATCAGCAGATAGCAGCTCTGCAGCCACGATTCATTTAGCTGAATGGTAAATGGTTCCTTTGGGGAAGAATGGAGAGGCTGAGGGCAGGGTCAGGTCTGCAGGACTCCAGGGGGTTTGAGGGTCAGAAAGCAAAAGGTCAACAGAAGGAGGGGCTCTGAAGAGAGGAGAGCAACCTGGACTAAGTTGACAGGAAACATCACCCCAGTGTCATCACTGCTTGGCTTCTTCAGCCATTTAGATGCTGGCAAGTGACTGATGACAATCCCAGGGATAGTGAAAAAAATGAATGTGGGAGTGTGTGGAAATGCTAACCAAGGCAACCCAGGAAAGTGCAAAGATTCCAGAACAGCTACAGTGCTGGACCAATGTTAAAAGGTTCTATCATACCACTTCCTTCTAGGAGGCCCACATTTTGGTCTGTGAAGTTCTTATTTTATCTGTATGGCATTAAGCTCTGTGTTTTCTGGCAAGGGCTCATAGCTCAGTTCTAATGAATGAAACGAGCTGGTAACAGTTGGGTATTTTTAGGATCAGCAGGCTGGTTCTCAAAAAATTGAAAGAATTTAAAAGTGCCTTTGGCTCCAGAGCAACACTGACAGTGCTACCAGCTTGTGGGAACAGGCAGGAGGGGTCACAGCAGGAAGAATGATGACAGATGTGCCCTGAGCTTTGTGCTCCTCCAGTCCAATCTGCAGAGTAAAAGATGAGCTGAATCATGAAGATAAGGGAAAACAAGACTGCACGTCCAAGATCCCAGTGATTACGAACACAGAAGCCAAGTTCTGCATGATCTGCTCTGTAAGAGTTCGCTCATGAGTAACGATGAGGCACTGAGATCATTAGTTTGCTTACGATAATCGAGTTGAATACTGCTAATCAGTAATGACAGCTCTGAGGAAGCTGAGTGTCTACCATGCACACAGGTGAAACAGGTGAAGCAACACCTCCTGCCTCCTGAAAACACGTACCCCAAAACACAGCAGCCTCGCAGCCCAGCAAACCAGCAAACTGCTACCACAGAGCTGTCAGTGCAAGCTGCCTCTTGCACCAGGGTCACTGTGGCCCAGGACCAAGGTACAAGGGCATGCAATCATCCCCGTGTGAACTGGCACTGTGCTGGAGGAGCCATCCAGATAAGGCTGCAGGCTGCACCTGCTCTGCTGCCATGCGTAGCTGCACGTTCCCCAGCTGCTGACCTACCGTCCCAGCATCACGCTTCCTCCTGACCAGTGACCGTGAGGACAGATGGGAAAAGTGAGACTAGAAGTAGTACTTACTACAGATGAAAGGTCCATGTTTACCATCCTCCTGTCGTCCAGCTTGACTGGCTGGAGGCCAGCAACATTTAGCTGGACAGAAGAGGTTCTGTATACAAATCCCAGCAGCCAGTCTC